TTTTTATTTTTTTTTTTTTTTGAAGCCGCGGAATGTTTATCCAAAACGATGGGCTTCGATCGACCAAAAAGTAGGTACAGGTAGGCATTAAGAGGAAACTCCTCGGATCGGTAAATAATGTCAAGCACACGTCGAAGAAGGAGCGCACGTACGTAATAAATGTGTAATATATATGTATAAAGCAGCCGAGCGTTTGAGAGAAATTGAAATTTACGACACCGACCAAGGTCGTCCGCGTGGCCTCGATCCGTCGCCCGCGAGAAAATCCCCCGAGAACAAGCGGAGGAGGAGGCGGCAAACAACAATACCCCGCCGATTCTTTTTCCCCTGTGTGACGGCGTAACGAGCCGATCCCGCGCCTCCTCTGACGGATGACTCCACACGCACATACACACCGCATTTTCGCATTCAACCTGCAACTGGAGGTGAGACTAGCGCGATCTCGTTGCATCAGGGCTATACGGGTATAGGTCGAGTTGGGAAACCGTACGAGTGTGCGCGCGTCCGTGTGTTATTTGTGTACTGGAGCACAGGCCGCGTGGGCGTCCACGACGGCCGTCGGGATCTTCTCTCCTCTCCCGCTCGCGGTCATTTATTCCTCACTTTTGCGCGCGCGGCCGCGTTTCGTAATGCCTTTTTTTTTCCTTTCCCTTCCCTTCCTCCCGATATTCATTATCATCATGAATTAAAAACGCGAAATCCCGCGTGCTTGGAGCGAGAAAAGAAATAAAGAAAAAAAATCGAGATCGGTAAAGATCGGCAAGTTTTTTTTTTCCTCTCTCGCTCTCTTCTCCTAGCGCGCCTACTCGCTGTTGGGATTTGCATACTGGGCGAGGACGGGCGAAACGTCGCAACCGATCTACGGATCGCCAATTACATACTTTGGCGAATCTTAAAATCGTCATGAGTATAGGTATACGTCTCGATGATGCACTCACGGTAATCGGTACGCCGTTGCTCTTGAGCACCTCAAGGTCCTTCAAGTACCCCGCTCCGTCGAAACCATCGGAGCACCGATGGCTCACCCGACCCTTCTTCCTGTTCCTGCTAGCGAGTGCCATCTCCAGGAGGTCCTCCCACTCGACCACGTCGTAGCTGAGCGACTGTCCCGTGGTCCTGCTCCTCTTGACGACCTTGCCAGTAGCGGCGTGTCTCCTCGTGATGGCGCAATTCCTCCCGTTCATCGCCTCGAGCTGCTGCTCCGCGTCCGCGGTTATCCTGCGGCCCTTGCGCTCCCGGGGCAACCGGATGATGTTGCTGTCGTCCCAGCCCTCCTCCATCTTCCGGATCCTGTCGTTAACGGCCAACCCGCTCCTCAAACTGTCGGCCCAGGTCTCTTTTTTCGGCTGCTGACCGCGGCGCAAGCTCGACGTGTAGTTGGTGCCCCGGACGAGGGGCGACGTTGGCTTCCCGTTGCTCCTACCGATCAGCTTGACCGAGTCGTCGTAGATCGACTTGGCGTGGTCAATGTCGTCGAGGACCCTGTCTATGCGGCGTATCATGCTGGTCGGGTCGCTGTGCCCCGGCTCCGACGAGTTGAGGCTGTCGCTGTCGCTGTAGTCCCAGGAGCTCGTGCTGTTCCTGCTGAGCTTGCGCGCGTGGTGTCCCGATGGCGTCCCGCCGATCGGCTCGGCCGTCGATCTTTTCGGGCCGTTCCTCGCACGGGGTTGCTGCTTGCCCGGCTGCAGCGGACTCGCGCACGACCTTCCACCCGGGGCAGGCCCGTTTTTCCCGTTGAGCAGCGCTTTGCCGATCCCGCTCGCGTGGGCCTTGCCCTTGCAAGCTCGGTGGTGGCGCATGTGCTCCTGATGCGTGGCCGGCATGTTTTCTTCGACTTTGTCGAACCGCAACACTTTCACTGACGCGAAACCAAAGTCGTTCGCACGAGCGCGAAATATAGGGGGATGGAAAAATGAAAACAAAGAGCTTCAAGCCAAGTAATTAGCTGATTAAAAATAGACGGCGTTTGAAGAGGAGGCCCGAGGGGGAGAAGCGCGCAACTTGAGGTTCCGGAGAAAAATGACGCGCGTATTCTCACGGCGCGCGAAAGTTATAAAAGGGTGAAAGTCTCTCGTCGTCGTCTCCTCTCAGCTGCTGCAACGACAACACGAGGGGAAGAGCTAGACGGCAACCTTACACGTGTATTAAAATATATGTATAGATATATTGCACATATATATTATATATGCACACACACACATACACACACGTCGGAGACGCGAAATTCACATTTTGCAGTGTCCCCTTATGGTCGTAGACGTTGCGGGGCTAGCCGAGCTGAAGTGCCGTTTTACGATGACCAGCTCACATTACACTTCTCGAACAACTGAGTCCACATTTGGAGAAAAGTCTTACATCAAGAAATTTAGAAAGTTTGATACTTGTTTTCGTTTTTTCAGAAAGTTTTGAAGTCAAAATGCCGGGATCGATTAGTCCATTGTACTTTGTAGCCGCGTATTTCAATTTAATTGATTCCAGTGTCATCATGAGCGCAGTTTATTTATTAGGTGACACAAAATTACAATGTCTTTAATATTAACAAGGAAACTTACTAATGGAATATCTACTCGTTTAATTATTTACATTATAAGTCTCGTGAACTATATATGGTCAAACAAACAGGACACATTTTAGAAATATGATTATCTTGTATTACAAATTGTGGTTATCTTCGAGTGCAGTATTATTTAAAATTAGCTAAAAAATTTCGTGCTAATACGATCGGTAGAAATTTAAGTAAATATTTACTTTGGCTAAACCAAATAGGTGGTTCAACATGACCGGGGTGGTAAGCTTACACTTGACTATTTTGGAAACACTAATTTACGTCTATGAAGATTTTATTTTTATAAAAGATGTAATTAAGTTTATAATTTTATACTACTATTTATAAAAGTGTTTGTGAGGGAATAGATCCTCTATTTTGATTGCCATGCAGGAAATAAAAAATAATTTTAGCACAATCTCGATAGTAATGACACGGGTTCAAATTATACTTTTCACAAAATTTTAATTTAATCCATTAGTGCACCGCTCAATTACGATATATATTTTTAGGAATTTTTGTTCCAATAAAATAATTTTAAATATACTTTTACCCCACACAACTTGCACGGGTGAAAAATTTGTAGATAATACCAAAGAGTGAAATAAATTATCGATTGGCCATAACAGAGCCAATTTCGGATAAATAAATGAAATCATCTAAATAGATTGAACGGGTAAAACTTTCGGCAGGTCCAATTTTTTCTCAAACAACGCTATGTGAAAATTCGTAACAACGACAGCTTCCACCTAAATACACGAAATTACATTCGACATCATACCAAAAGATTTTATTTACTGCATAAAAAATTTCTAAGGATTACCACTACTATATTATTTATACTGTACGCATACAAATAATTTCAGCTTGCCTCTATTATATTAATGCATACAGCAACAAGACCAAAAACAGTAAGGCGCGCACACACACACACACACACACACACACATTTTCATAAAAATTATGATGATAATGCAGTATAATAAGTGAGCAAAAGTAAAATATAATATAAAACGAAATCTGGCGAGTTGTGTAATGCTCATCTTTCAGAGAATACAAATTTTTATACTTCCGTACCCGTACTTGTGGATTCTGTGGTTTATACATCCAGCGATTAAAAAATTTACTTTGAATGAAATTTGTTTCAATTACTTTGTACTTTCCACAATATTTTAAGTATTATCATAAAGAAAATAATGATAATAATACTGACCTGAGTATGTTTGGATGGTTGAGCTTGTTCATGAGTTGCACCTCCTTGAGCATGTTTGGTCGATTGGACGGAAGTTGGTTCATTTTCAGGACCATCACCTGTCCCGTCACTTTGTGGGTAACCTGAAAATGCAAGTAAAACGAAAGCCATCAGTTTGATGCAATATTTTCTCGCATAAAACGACTATCGTTTAATAAGTACATTGCATCGACTCTTAAAGGTACGTCTCGGTCTGCATGTACATTTATAGTATATGTGTGGGCAGGTATTTCAATAGTACGTAGTATATTATATACACACAGCTCGCACAGTTCGTACCGATAAAATACAAAGCAACAGTGCAAAGCCATCGGGAGCACGCCATCATGTCAGATTAGCAGCGCGAAGTTGCCAATTATTTTTAGCTATTTTTCTTCCAATACCAGTAATTCTTCCTGTTGTAGTTCATGCTGCCATTTAAATTAAAAGAAAAAAAAAACTTTGAGTGACATCAATTTGTTTTATATAGTCATTCGTTTATCCAGTTTACTGATTCATCGTGTGTAATGATCGAGGTAATGATTATGTGTATGTGTGACACGCGAGCAGTGACTGTACTCTTTGATTCGCGTTTATTGGCAAATTTCATTATATACCTATGACTATGTTTGGGTAAGTAATGGCGTAATAAGCCGTCGATCGCAAGTAATACTATTACATAGTTATATATTATTTATATGAGGAAAATTTCAAGCCGACGCCGAAAGAGAAAAGAAAGGTACCTACCAAACGGGGGCACAGCCCTTCCGTCTCTTTCACTTGAGGTATAATTAAATACACTTGGGTGAGGAGAGTCGCACGCGTGGACCTCTTGTGTGATGATTAATAAGTATCTTGAATTTGATTAAATTACCTTCATTATAGGTCTATACATAATCCTACGAAGTATCTACATGAGAGAATGCAATTTTTCGCACGAGACGAGGAAAACTTGTCTCTCACGCATCGTCGTCGTCTATCAATAACATATTTATGTATAAACTGTACACTGCAGATAACATAGCTGGTTGCCGTGCTCTTTATAACAGTAATCTACAGCTTCGAATGTATAATATGTCTGGTTAAAGAGTAAAATCGCGATGTTGTTAATACATCGGCGGTGTAAGTTATACATTGAACGAAAGTTCCGTATAGTACGAAAACCCTTTTTGTTCACATCATCTCTCTCTTGCCTGTCGTTTCCAACTCCCACCATCTTCCACGTCATCATCCGGAACTTTTACCATTGTGCGATGCGCCGCCGACGCCGGCTGAACGATACATACAAGTGCGCGGATTTGGAGGGGACTCTGGAACTTTTTCGGAATGTGTCGCGAAAGTTATCGCATGGAATGCAACGCGTGTGAAAATGCGTACACTTTTATTATTGTTCGCATCTCAGCTGCGGCTTTCAGTTGTCGATAACGATTTCATTAGTGACCAGTATACCAATAGCTACAAGGGCAGTATACAGAAACATAAATTTTATAGCGGTCTTATAAATACTTATGTCAGCATAATATAAACGTATGTATACATACGTGTTGAAAAAAATTGTTAATTTTTTCTCGTATATGTATTTTCGCGCGAATAATGTAAGATGGTATCAATTAATTCTCATCGTACCTTTGGCCTACAACAAAAACGAGAAAGTTACTGACAATTTCATCTGTCATTGCGTCCAACTACGATGATTAATAATAATACAACCACTGCTTGTAACATGACTTAAAAATCCAAGATTCGAGTGTTAAATATCTTTACTTACAGGCAGCTTGAAAAAGTACAAGAAATATTATACTTTATATGTACTTGCACCACCGGCTACGCTGCTGCGCCGATAAATCGAAACGCATCCATGAGCGACAGCAGCTTTAAACTTTGCTGCCGCAGAACTATTAATAAAGATCTGCTCTCTGTTTGGCATAAGCACAACCCACATTCAAAAATAACTGCGGGCTTATGGGAATTTCGTAAGAAAAAAAAAAAAAAAAAAAAAAAAAAAAAAAAAAAAAAAAAAAAAAAAAAANAAGTCGCGCGAGGCAGGAACATTATTTTTAAAAGGGATGACGCAACTTGGGATGCAATTATTATTATTATTATTAGAAAATAGAACGGCATATTGAATTGGCAATAATATGTATATATAAGGTTGCGGTATTATACACACACATACACACACACTCGTGGATGAAATATCATGTAAGAGGGGCATGGTATAATATACATACTCTCTAAATTTAAACCAGTGAAAATGTTCACTATTTTGGTAGTGAATGTCTGTTTCACTTGAAGCTAAGTGAAAATGTTTACTATTTAGATATAAGTTTTTTTTTTTCACTTTCAATGAAGTGAGAATTCCACTTTTCTAAAGTGAGACGTTCTTCAAATCACTAATCGCTAAGAAATAGTCAAATAATTCACTATTTCGTTAAGGGTGTATAGTATATACCAGCGCTGGGAAATAAAGGGTGGTGTAGGGGGGGGAAAGAGACAGACAGACAGACACCCACACACAGCTAGCGAGAGAGAGNGTCACTCAATTCTGTGGACGATGAAAAACATGTGGATAAGAGCTCGCGAACAATTTAAAGGGTTAAGGTGTAGAATATTTAACTATGTAGCTGATACAGTTTTTTGCTGGGCGACAGCTAAATTACGATGACGATGCGGTGTAAGTATACGTAACTATATAAACAAAGTTGGTCTATGAAGATAGAAAGAAAGGGCGAGGGAGAAAAGTGGCTTTTGAAGGAGGCGCTAACTTTTGACGACTACGGGTGGTATTCCGAGTTGTTTTTTCATTGATGACACGACAACTATGGTGGTTGCGACAACGACAATAAGACCAATTGACAATAATATATCTTTTTTCTTCTAGTTCTAACTATCTCATTGAAATAGAAATTAAAATGTTCGAGAAAATGTTCGCCTAATTGCATAAGACTACTATGTTGCATACAGGTTTTTGTTGAAACGTGTGTTCAATTTTACAATAAAACAAATACACATTTTTTTTCTTCTTTAGTGTGAAAAAATAAAATACTCCGTTAAATAGTTTGAAATAAAAATTTACGGGAGTTCACTGTAAATTCAAGTGTGTTGAAATACATGTGTGCGTACATAGTTGACATTTGGGGTTTTATTTTATTTTTTCTATGAAATTCCTTAGCGTATAAAGTTGATAAACGATTCAAAAGAAAACAAATTGATGCTTCGTAAAATATTTCACGTATTCTATTAAACTAAACAATTGTTTTTCTTCAACGATTGTCATCGAGAAAGCCGTCGAGAGTAAAACATATCTGTGACGAATAATACACACTTGTAAACGTGTTAAATCAGTGACAGCCATTTTTTTTTGTATTGGTTTTTTCCGTTGATAATTGTCCAGTTTAGTACAACTGATGAAATATTTGGTGCGTTCTAGATTATATATTAATATAATATAATATAAATAACCGAAATTAATATATAGTCGATATTAAACATATTTTGCGCGTATGTAGTTGTCACGTATAAGAACAGTATTTTTTTGGCAATTAATAAACGAAGACCCTTACACATTACTTCGCTAAACTCAATAAGCATCAATCTGGACAGCTTACGTACCAAAGTGTATCTTTTTCACGAAATTCCTTCTCTTGCAACACCCATGCAAAGTCATGCAAAGAGGTAAAATACGAATGAAGGTGATGCATATTATGCATACAGAGAGAGAGAGCCATCCTACTTTGCCCAAACACACACACATGGTGCAGCACTTGAGCACCTACTTACAAGTGTGTATTTGCGGGCGCTTGATACGCGCGATAAAATCCAGCGAGTGGAATATTTCGCGGTCGCGGGCAGGACGCCGAAAGATTCGCGGGGAGAAAGCAGCAGCAACAACTGTTCCCATGCGTACAGCATACATGTATACATGCAGCAGCCTACAGCGCATAATAATAATAATAATAAGAGTGTTATTGTGATAACGCAATATTGTGGAAAAAAAAAGGAAAAGAAAAGGTCGAAAGACTCACTGTGCAGCAGTGAAAGGCGAGCTGGAGAAAGGCCGGGGGTGGATCGGCGGCGGCGCATATCTCGGCTACGGCCAGGTAGTCGAGGCCAAAATTGTCGGATCTGGGCAGGACGTCCGGATCAGCGGGTACTCTGCCTATGAGCTCGCATACGACGATGCCGAAAGAAAACACGTCAGATCTGTGATCGTACCATTGGCCCTTGAGGCACTCGGGTGACATCCAGTAGGGACTGCCTACGGTGCTAAGTCTGTACCCGGTGCTCGGATCTGGTATCTTGGCTGCAAGGCCAAAGTCCCCGACTACGGCGGTGAGCTGTTCCGTGCCGTCGTCGTCCCGGGGATAGCAGCGCACGAGGACGTTCTTCGAGGTAAGGTCCCGGTGAAAGAGGCCCCGGCTGTGCAGGTACGCCATGCCGCAGGCCGTGTCGCGGGCCAATTTCATTCGCTTTTGATGGGGCAGCTCTACGTGCCGGGACATTATCAGCTGCTCGAGGCTACCCCTGTTTATGTACTCGGTCAGGGCGTGCAATTGGCCCTCGTGCACACACACTCCCATGAACCTGCAAACCGTCACACATACGCCAATATATATATATATGTATATATTATTTGGCTACTCTTAGCCAATTTTTTTTCTTTTTTTTTCCCTCCCCTCCCGTAGTTTTATTCGAGGTTTTATTGTTTATTTATGACAATGGTAATTGCTCTACACACACACACACCATATAACCATATGCATATGTGTATAATATAACATAACAGCGGTGCTCATAATATATACATCGCGAATAAATCAATTGTTTGGCAGTCATTTACATGAGGTTAATTTATTATTTCTTATCACGGTAGCAGAGTATACAATACAATACATACCCCAACACCAACACACACACACACACACACACAAATATATATGTAGCGATACGGTGAGCTAGTCGCTAAAAAAAAGATTGAAAATTGCTGTGTGAGCGCTAAAAATATTTATGAATCAGCTGCTTCCTCGACAAAAATCTAAATTAGCCCTATGTGTATCCATGGGTCCCTACTTCCCCCTATAATATACACATTATAATGCCTGTACTACCGGTACTTGAAAATTGGTAACGAAAGAAAAGCATATATAGATATATACACACACACGTAAAGGTTATTGCAACTAAAATCTGCCGTACGCAATGCAAATTTTACACGTATACCAGCGCAGCTAAGTGAGCAAGCAAGAGAGAAAGAGAGAGCTGTGGTCAGGTCGTCTTTTTCCGAGGCACATTTCATTCGCCAAGGAGGATGGTGGGGGGTGGGGAAAATAAAAGAGGGGAAAAACGATACGGGAGATCAGCTCTGGTAATCTACTTCCGTGGAGAGTCCGCGACCTTCGGGAAGTGCCGTTATGGTCGAAACCCAAAGATCCTCGACCCGCTTGCTGCTGATGATATACGTATGTATACAAGTATAGTTAGTGAGCCTCACTCGGTTCAACACCTTGATTGCTTAATAAAATTAAAGTCGCGCGAGGCAGGAACATTATTTTTAAAAGGGATGACGCAACTTGGGATGCAATTATTATTATTATTATTATTATTATTATTATTATTATTATTATTATTGTATACTGTCTCCGAGTAGCTGTATATACAGTTACAAGTTTGGAATCTTTGGTGTCAAATGAGCCGTACCAACGACGCTTCAAGAGAGAGAGAACGAAAAATTTTATTTTAAGCCAAAAAATGTTGCTTCGGAATCAGCATCAGAAAAAGTGACAGTAAAAACAAGCTCAAAAACAAAGCCATCTACATTTTGCTCGAAGTCAACCCAGCAGCGCTATGTATAGCAAAATTCATGCTATACTGCAGTTATTGCGTTAGCGTCACGCGGCGTCACGCACACTAACGTGAGCACGGTTACTTAGTAAGAAAATTGTAATCCAAGAGTTTTCTTTTCGGTACCTTACGTTGTTGTTTATTTCATTGTTGTTCGGCCGCACACTCTGCTTCAATTGCACGCTTTAATTTTTGTTTCTTTCACTTTCGCGTGCAACACATGTGCGAGGATAAGTAGGCATAAGTATACGTATTACTCTTTAACCGAGTACCGTGATAAAAGTAGCTATTAAAAAAAAGTCCGAAAAAGGGGACGACGCTGAGCATTGAATTTTTTTGCGGGAGATTCGATCGGCTCTACTTCTCCGCGGGCACGGCGAAAGTTTACATGTATAGGTATAACCCGGTATAGCGTCACTGATGGACCACTTTCGATTGTTCCCGTATGTACCTACATAATTTTTATATGATACACTTAACTGTTTGTGGATATGGTTAAATTATGGTAATAACATACACTGCAATCAACGAGTGCACGGATCAAGTTGTTTTTTGGCTGTACGTATACTTAACAATGATGACGCTTTCCGTTAGTTTTCCTCTTTCAGTTGCACGCGTGTTTAGTTCCTTCTCTCTCATATATTTCATCTTTTAATTTTTTTGGTCGTCAGATCAATATTCCGCCATAAAGTTTTGTCGATCACAGTTAGTAAACACGATTTTATTAATATATAAGTGTAAAATTATCAAAGTGTATCTATTCATAATTGCCAGCAGTTAGTCCATGCTTTTTCATAAGGCAAATATTAGATTATGTCGTGTACCATGTGTCTACATGATATACGTTGAAGTAAACGTGCCTCTCTGCAGTGTAAAATTATTGTCATTTCACTGTGTGTATCATGTATGATGCATTTCAGTTCGTAATAAAAGTGCAGTGATTCAAGTATTATGTTATTACTGTTGTAGCAATTTATAAATACACCACTAATACGTGGTGATGTGGTGACAATTTCACTGCTTTATGTAGTAAAAATTTCACTGTTTTATGGGTGAAAATTTCACTGCTTTGTGGGTGAAAAGTTCACTTCTTTATGTGGTGAAAATTTCACTGCTTTTGAGAGTTAAAATCATTTCACTATTTTATGAAGCGAATATTCACTATTTGCATGTGACCTGATCCTAACTGACGAGGGTAGTGAAAATTACACTGTTAACCAGTGAAATTTCACTGGTTTAAATTTAGAGAGTATAGCATGATAACGCATATAAGGAGAATCATATGAGCATGGCAAAAAAAAAAAA